CGGCGCAAATGCTAAGCATGCATGTTTCTGAAAAAATAAAAAGCAAAATAAGAAATGAATTAAAATTATATAAAACAGGGTTTTTTGAAAATAAGACTTAAAAATCATTTTTGTACCGAATAAGGAGCATTTTTTTCTTNTATTTTATGCTATAATTGGACACTTTATTTACAGTTATTAATTTGTTTCGGAAGCTAGGCTCCTAAACGAAACTATTGACTAATAATAAAAACAATTAATGAAATTTCGTTTCCAATTTTTAAAAGATTTAAATCGAGAACTATATACTTTTGTTGCAATTAATGATTCAGTTGAAAGAAAATTTTCAACTTTAATTTTGGATTGGAAGCTAATTGCTTGCAATAACAACGTCACAACAATTTCACCTTTTCCGTTTGAATTATTGATGTTTTCATTTGTCTATTTATTTGCCTTTTTAATGCTTCGTTAAAAATGTTTCTGACCATTTGTTTAAACAATGGTTTTTAGATAAGTTTTGCTTTCAAATAAATTAACTATTTAGATGATTTTTATTCTTTTTACAAATGTTTCTAATTACAAGAACTGTGTCTGAAATTTTATATTTATTATGATGTTTATTATAATAATTTCCAAACATTTAAAAATACTTTTATATATACAAAAATTTTAACTTAATTTTAATATTTTAAATATATGGTGATACATTTAATTGTATTAAAATCAAGAGTAAGTATATATATATATATATATACGTTTTAATACATTTTACTTCAATGCCCCCAACGCATAGGTAAGTTTTCTAATTGTTTCAAAGATTGTCAATATTTTTCAATTATTTTAATGCTTGATATTTTTGGATACAAATTTTTGTATAATATTGAAGTCAGAAAAATTTGGTAGCTTTGAATAACTGTTTTGCTTAAATGAAGAGAGGGTATACTTCGTGATACATATGAAAAAACCAGAAACGTGAACAAATCACAAATCGCGGTGGCATTGCTCATGGTTCACTCATGTTGCTTTTATTTATACAACTGTTCTTTACAAATTAAAACCTTTATAAATATTCATGGCAAATGCATTTAAAAGTCGTTGAAATCCTTATAACGAAATAAACTTTTATTTAAAACAGACGACGACTTTTTAAAAAAATATGTTGAGACTAGTCGGATAACTTAAGCTATTTAATGCGAATCCGGCATTATTACTGTTTTTTAAATCTTAACATGACAAACCATTTTTCACACTCTGTATTAAGAGCTGGTCATGAAAATTTAACATTAAAAGTCTTTCGCTTATATATCGGATATGCATTTAATAGCTTTTAGAGTCGCCGACTCGTGACTTCCTTCTCTGAATTTCAGGAAATCAAATGTGCCAAAATAAAGGACAACTGAGTCTTTTCTTTTGTCGTGTTTATTGGACACTTATTCTCATTTCACGTGTATTCAGATTCGCTTTCGTTTCATGGGAAACGGGAGTGACACTTTTTGACGTTTGTTTTATATCCTATTTTCATCTGTTTAATTAACTAACAGCTGACAGGTGATATACTGTTCATAGCATTCAGATTTATTAACATCATCTTAGAATTTATGGAATTTGTTGCCAATACGCTTTCAAAAATTTTGACGCGTGTTTCACCACAATATGGTTAAAAGTGAACAATATTTATTCTGTTTACTTACTGCTCGAAAAAGAAAAAAGGCATGGCTAGTTATATTTAACACAATGTTAGCGTTGTAGCAAATTTGCATTGCATTATTGTTCAAGTTACTAAAATTATTGTCAACGTTGAACCGATTCTTCTGAAAGAGTAGAAAGAAAAAAAGATGATGTCTTGTTATATTACACTATTAGAATTTTGATTCTAAAATTATGGTAAAATAACTGGCAGCAACCCAATAAACCGTAAAGTTTACAGTAAAAAACATTTTTACATTTACGGTTTTGAAACCGTTTTAAACAAGCATGGTTAAAAAATCATAAATACAAAATTAAACAGTTTTTTTAAACCATTTACGGCTAGCATGGTTTCAAAACAGGGAAAAAGCTTAACTGGAGCTAGTCTCGTTGGGTAATGAGCATTTGAGTTAGGTTGTGGTTGAGTTGGGTTTTAACAAATTAACTGTGCAGTGTGGTTTAATTAGTTCATCTGGTTGTTTCCCCTATCGTCAGAGATGGGGAATACTAGACGATTTTGTGTTAAACAGCTATAAGTGCTGCCACCTATGCGTGAGTGTGAGAGTTTCGTATTCTAATAGCCCAGGGTCAAAAATTAGGGAGTATAGGAGAATTGCGGTCAGAAGAACCGGCAGCAGTCTGTCCATCTGATTAACCGTGAAGTTTACAGTAAGGAACACTTTCTACCTTTACGTTTTTAAAACCGTTTACAACTTACATGGTTAAAAAACCATGAGCACAAAATCATGCAGTTTTTAAACCATTTATAACTAGCAGGATTTCAAAATTGCAAAAAAACTAGGATTTTGCAAAGCTGAACGTTGGAGCTATGCCTTTCGTTAGGTAATGGGAAATGAAGTTAAGTTGTGGTTGAGTTGTATTTTTATCAAATGAACCGTGGAATTTGTTTTAATTAGTTAATCTGGTACCTATCACACTTATCGTAAGATAAAGGAAATACTAGATTTTTTTTGTATTAAGCAGCTTTATGGTGCTGCCATCTTTGCGTGAATGAGAGCATTGTATTTTCATAGTTTAGGGTCACAAATTGGACAGTGCAGGACACTGGAAACACTTCATGTGTTGTAGAAATATTGTGGTGTGAACGCTGGACTCGAACCCCCATTCAGTTGGTCATGAGGTTGACAGATTAGACCTCTCGGCTATGATATGTGCCCATCTGCATGGGACTAAGTGACTTCTTCAGGCGGGTCTAGTTGGTGATATAAAATTCTGGTTGTTTAATGGTATTAGGTAAAAGCAATTAATATATGGTTTTTCTCACAGTTAACAGTTTGAATACCATCTTATTTCCAGTTATTTGACTGTTTTGTTTGAATTCGGCAAAATAAGAATTAAATAAATTGTTATTTTACTATTTTTGTGAATTTTTTAACAGTGCAGAATAAAAACTTCCCGTCTGGTGGTAATGTTTTGAATTATATTTCAAATTAAAATTACATTCTAACTTGCACTGAGAAGAAAAGTGTGGTTAAAACTGCCAGAATTTGGTAAAATTTACCATAATTCCGTCTCTGCATTGTAAAAAAAACCCAGATAATTTACAGAAAGCACTGTCAGCTGGAGTGCCAGAGCAAAAATATTGATATACCGTAATTTTTACAGTAATAAATGCAGTAAAATCACCGAATCACTATAAATTGAATGAATATTAATAAAAAACTATGGTATAATATTTTCCAGTAAAAATGAATTTTACGGTAAAATAGATTTACGGATATGCACCCAAAGTGTTTGTACTTTATACCGTAATTTGATCCGGAAATTTTTACTGTGCTGGCAGCAAAACGCTTACATACGGAAAAAGTTTCATCATTTTTATTTTTTTAAAATCATGTATTCTCAAAAATAAAAATTTCATTTTAGACAATACGGTGATTCTATTGTTGCATTTTGTTATTTTGGAAAAAGCGCAAACTCTAAAATTTCTTTTCGGAATTCTTTTTTTGACTCATGGATCGCCTCACAAGCAAGGTACCCAAAGCCTCGCTCTAGTAAATCAGGCTGAATTTTCGATATAGTTACATTATTAGATCATGAAATTGTATATGTGTATAAAACTTTTCATCTATTCCACATTTGTCGTTACGACATAGATTATTGAAAATGAAAGTTTGCGCGATAGATGCCAGAAAAAAAAAATCATGTCCCAGATACTTTTAAAAATTAACTTCAAATGATTTCTCGACCAAGTTCTAATTCAGTTAAAAAATTGTTAAAAAAATATTTTTAAAATGCAGAAACTTTTGAACTGATCCTCAAAATATTAAATTTTTATCATTTGTCATTGATTTAAGCGCTAAATTAAATACTTTAAAATGCAAATATTGAAGTTTTCAATAGGGTACTTGCAACTCGAGAGGAAGTGATTATGCCTAACCATGTGATTGAAATTAGATTTAATTAGATGTCTGCAAGCGACAGCACACGCGTGTGTCGAACCTGATTGGCTTTTGAATCGTTAAATACCATGGTTTATTTATGATGACGTCACTTACAGGTATTAAATTAAGGAGATGTCTTAAATTAAAGCAACTATGGTTACGTGTATGGTTGCCAAAGCAACTTTTTTAAAAACTGGATCAAATCAAATACTACGTTATCAAATACTACATAGCCAACAATGCTCTTTGTCTGTGGGATGAATTAAACTTGGTGCTGTATTCAAGCTAAAAAGTGTAGTTTCAATAATTTATAACTTTATAATTGCTTCAAAATAAGCAAAATAAATTTTATATGTGATTTAAGAATCGGAAAACTATTAGGGAAAACATAAATTTGATTGGCTAGTGACATTTCGAGTACCTTCCTTGTCGGTGCATTTTGGAAGTTAATGTTTGTAAATATAGTTATTATGTTAAAAAGTATTATGTTGGTAATATAGCTGGTAATATGCTGGTAATATTGTAGTAAAATGTATTTTCTACAACCACAATCCACTTTTTCAGTAAATTATACTGGAAAAGTAATTTATATTTTTGTCAATAGAAGATCATGGTAGTTTTTTTTTCCAACCACTATGAAATCATGACCAGTTCTTCGACATTTTCTTAAATCTAATTTTAATAGTTAACATAGCATGATGCATGTTCTCATTTCCCACGCACATTTCCCGAAATCGATTTCTAGCAGTAATTGAGAAATCATTTACTCATACTCCTTTTTTAAATGCTGCATTTCCTAACCAATAGAAATGATGGGCGGAGCTCTATAACTGTTTTCTTTTCAAAACAAACACTTGACTCCATCTTTGTAGCCAGGAAAGAGGTTCAATCGTTTCTAATATATAACTATATTTTATTTGACGAAAACTAATAGCGGAGGAAAAAAACACAGCAACCTGACACTTAGCTATACTTTTGCCTGATTGGTGTCTAGGTTATGACAACTTAGCACTTGTTTGGCTAGCAGTCAATATGAAAATAATCACCGAAGTAACGAGGAATCGGTAGAAGCAGGCAATGTTGGCGAAAAACAAATGTTTCCTTGAGGTATCACTTCTTGCTTCTTTAATTTTTATGAGGGAGAAAATCCATTCCATTATACTGTCCATTATACAGGTGTGAAACACGGTTTCATTTGATCTTGATAGAAAGTGAGGAAATATTTAAAATTTGTTTATAAGATCGGTTAGCAGTTGACTTTTGCATCGTCACAAAATGAAGGAAAAAAATCTATCCTGCGTTAATCTGTATTTTGTTGCTTTGAGAGAACTTTTTTTAACTTTAATGGAATACTTTTGATGGAGTTCCCGTAATTTTTTCAATATAAAGAAATGTTCTCTTAGTTTATTTATTTGGAATCCAAACTTTTTAATATTTATGAAAAAAACGATGAAAATTTCATGCGATTTCAGTATCAAATTTTTGTAGTGTAAGTGTTGCGCTATTTGGAAAATTTTTTAAGTGGAAAATCGTGGTGGTGCACTTATTTGTCCTGCTTATTGACACTTTTAGCTCTGCAGCTCTAGGCAGCTGTTGGGTCTGGCACTCTGCTTCACTCTCCTCTATCTTTTATAAAACATTCCATAGAAATATTTATTTTAAGCAGTTTAATTTTATTCCATTAAGCTTAAAAATCTCCTAGCTCGCATACTTGTACTTAAGATTTTATTTCCTTCCCTTTCATTCGTAAAAATCTAATCGCTTACACTTCTATAAAATTTCATTCTAAATGATTTTTTACAATTGCTATTCTGAATTCGTTTGCTACAGTGTTAAAAAAGTCTATTGTCTCAGAATTTTTAGGAATGCGAAAAACTCTGAGTAATATTTTATTCTAAGTTTGTTTACATTTCAGATTTTATATACAACTATCTCCAGGAGAAAGGGACTGCTAAAGTTTATCTTCGCCAAATGCTCAGCTTTGAAGTCTCGCATATTTCTCGAATACTCTTTGATCATGCATGGTAAGCGTTCCAATTTTCTCTGTTCCACTCATATTTTCCTTATTTTTTTTCTTTTCTATTGTTATTATTAACATATTTATATTCCTGCATCTTTATTTCCATTTCTTTCTACTGTCAAAATGGAGGCGAGAAGAGCACGGTTGTTTCCATGACAACGAAAGAATAAAATACGAAAGATATGTAGCAAAGTGTGAGTTATATAGTCTTTTTTTAGATGATGTAAGAATGCGAGTGTTAGATTAGATGCGTACGAGAGAGGTTTTGACGTTCCCAAATGACAGTTGAAACGTTAAAGAAAAGTTGTTATTCAAAAAAAAATATCATGTGCCAATTTTTTTATATGTAAAGTTCGAAAAAAGTATATTTTAACGTATGCAGAAATGATTTTGTATTCTATCTCTCTGAAAGTGGCGCAACCGAATCTTTATGAAAAAAATATTGTTGGTTTAAACATCGTATCAGTACCTAAAACCCTTACAGTGAAAGGAAAACTTACTGCAACTTTCATATGTTGATAAAGTAAATCCTATTTACACTTAAATAAATCATTAAATAAAGTATAAAATATTTTACATAGTAATTAACTTATAAAGATTGTGTAGGATCAACTTTGCAACATAATATCGGTATTTTGAGCAAAAACATCGAGTAAATTTGTTGCAACATACATATTTAAAAAAAGTAAAACCTATTTATGTTTAAAAAGATCGTTTAATAATGAAAATGATTTACTTGGTAATCAACTTTGAGAACTGTAATATCGGGAAAATTTATTATTATGCTGTTAAAGGTTTTCTTGTTTCTGTTTAAATATATTGCTTAAAAAGGAAATTGAAAACCTGTAATAGTTAAATTAAGGAAATTAAACACGAATATTTATAGTTCATGTTTAAAAATATGTAATAAAATATTATATTAATACACAGAGAGAAAATAAAGTCAAAATTAACCGAAAAATATTTAAGGTAAAATTTACCGTATTCCTTGCTCTATATAGGAACACCAAAAAGCCTGGTAAATTTAACCGAAGCGCACTGGTAAGGATTTCGGTAAAATTAGCAATAAAATATGGTTTTATGATATGTGATAAAATTGGGTAAATGTTGTAAAATATGGTAATTTTATCTTGATACCATATATCTCGCCTTCATTACAATTTATTAGGTTAAAATTACTTCTCAGTTTTGTAATTTTTACTAAATGTATGATATTAAGAACTATAATTTAGTAAACCAGATTTCCGGTAAAAAGTTATCATATGTGGGGAAAATTACCAAATATATCACTTAAATAGCGTATAATTCGATTTTATTGCTAGAAATGTTACCAACACGGTAATTTTCTCAGAATTTTCTCCGTGTAACGGTGCAACATTTGTACTGTTATCGTTGTTATTGTACTGATATCGCTGTTAAACATGTACCTCTATATTTTTAGCGGAGTATATATCATAACGGTGTAATATGCGTGGAAATATGATATACCTTTATGGTATGTATTATAGTAAAGAGTTGCGAAGAAATATTAATAATCATAAATGTAATTTTATATAAAAACATATCACATAGCTGCCAACTGTCCAGAATTTTTCGGATTTGTTCCTAATTTTTAAATCGAATCTGAAAATCTAATATTTTTATAAAGTACTGTAGTTTTGAAAAAAATGGCATTCTTCTAGAAACGTTGTAACATATAGTACTGTACTTCATTACTTGCAGTAACTTATTACATTATTGTATTAATTACTTCTTTTTACTAATACAACATACTAGGCAATGTAAATATTGATTTTATCTCATTTTATTCTTTCAAAATGTTGCAGTTTATATCGGAAAGATGTGTCAAGAAACCCCGTGGGATTTTCTTTCCTGAAGATAATATTAATTGATTATTAATAGATAAAACTAATAATGATAACATAGAAGAATTTTAATGAATATTTAATTATTAGTGGAATAAATTTTAACGAAATGACAGTATTTAACTGATATTCTGTCAGTTCCTTACAACATCCTATGCAGGAATTGATTTTTTAAAGATTGTTTCAACATGCTAAGAATTTGCTTTGACGACGCAAAATAAATAAATCACAACTGTTTTTACAGTATTTGTTTTAATATTACATGTAACATGGCAACTAGAATTAAACATAAAACGTTAGGAAATAAAAACAAATAGAGAGCTTTTAGAGTATGACTATAAGTATTAAGTATTTGTTTTTAAATATAACTATGAACTAAGAATTTATTACTAGTATTTTTAAGTAAACATATAATGTTTATTTTAGAATGATTACTTCAGCATGGCTTGATTGTTTCATCTTAAATTAAAACTGAATTTTATTATTAAGGGGACACGGGATCTTGAAATCATAAAATCTTCAAAAAAAATTTTTTTTGTTAAAAATGTAAAGATAGTCAGCCTGAATCACGTGTTGTTCAAATTTTTTCGATACGATGATTTTTTATGATCTTATAGCTATTTTTCTGAAAAGTGGGCGTGGCACTTTTGACGTTCCATAAGCTGTCTGTTTACATTGTAGTTATCAAGCTTATTTTGATTTTTTTTATGTTCAAATCAATATTTCTATAAAATATTTTTTAATTAGTATAATGTGACACTGTTTGGCAACGCCAAATTAACTTTAACCGTACTTTTGTTTAACCGTACAATTGTGGGCACTTTGAATTCAAATGTATGAAATTTTCTAGCATGTTATCGAAATTCTGCAATATGCNAAAAATGGGAATTTTTAACGATCGAATTTTGTATGCGAAAACAAACTACAGTTTATTTTGCAAAAAAGTACTCTTCTACATTCAACGTTTGTTTACAAAATACAAGAATATTGCTGATTTTGAGTTAAGTATCGATTATAGATAGAAAGATAATTTTTAAAAAAAATAGGAAAAATGTTTGTTTTTTTTCACTCGAACATCAAGTATGAGCCACTTTCAAAAGAGATATCTTAGTAAAATAAGTTTAATAAAGTTTTAGCTTGTAAGATTTAGAATAAGATTGTTAATAAGTATTACTATAGGAATTTTAAAAAATGACGGAAATAAAGTACTTTTAACTTTTTTCATTAAAATATTATTTCGTCATGAGCATTTGACGATACAGCAATCTTTGAGCAAAGTTTCGCTAATTTTGAGAATCATTTCATCACGTGATTTATGACGAAACGTTAACTATCAAACATATGACGAAAATGCTTCCTCAACTCGAAACCTCATCATAGTGCATTGTGGGAGGGAGATTGTAAACTAGAATGACGAAACCGGAATAAAGACTAGACTATCGTAAATAAAGAGACGAATTATTCCTTCCAGGCTGTCTGGTGGTCAAGGAGTTAGCATCCATACGAGAAAAGGCCGATATGGTTTGCATCATATCATACTGGGGCCCGAGTCCCGATTTGGGCAATGGTGTAGGTTATCTCTCTGTTATATTTGTCCTTCAAGTGTTGTGAAGCTTACATGGTGCCTACGTTAAAGTGATTATTTGAGAATTTAGATAAGTAAGCATTACAGGGCTTTTTTTTTGGAAAAAATGAAATGACAAAATATTTCTCAAATTTTGACGAAATTCGTTTTCTCGAAGACGTGACTATTGTTTACTTTTTTATTGTTTATGGTTGGCGGCGATATATTTTTTGAATTTTTTTCTTTTATGAATTTAATGTCCCAAATCTTCTTAATAGAATGTGCAGTAGCGACTCAAATTACTATAATAATAAATAACTATAATTATTCTTGCGACGGCAACTTAGAAGAGTAAAATTTAGTTTGTAGAATTTCTTCATATAAGCTATTTACTTGCACAATAAGTTATAATTTTAATATTATTCTTAATAAGAATTTTTTCGGAAAATGAATAATTAGTTAAGTGACTGGTAGAATTGAATATCTTATGTTGAAATTTATGTTTCTTTTTTATTTAAAGAAAAAAAATCAATAACTTCTACCGAAATGATGAAGAAAGTAGTTCTCATCTTCTTCAAAGTTCTCTTGTTTTTCTTCAAATAAAAAATGGAAGGAAAAAAAATCCAGATAATCAAATATTAAAGTCTCATTCTAAAAGCTTTTTTTAAAAAAAAAATTCTTCGGTGAAGTAAGTTAAGCTAAATTCGTTTTGGGGAAAATAATGAGATAGACGGCAGCTACTGACTTTTTACCTCGCTATTTTTTTATTTTATTTTTGTTGGGAAGTATTCTAAAATTTATTATTTGCAAAGAGCGAATATGTTTTTATTTAAATTTAGAATAAAGCGCATATTGAAGATATCTTTATAGCGTTTGTGTAAGAAATAGAATAGTCTTTCATCTATAAACAAATGTTGGTAGTTAAATTTTGTTTCCACCATGGTAACTAAAACCTTTTTTGATATTCAAATAGGATTTTTTCTTTTTTACTTTTGTTTGAAAATTGAATATTTGATTTAGCTAGTCAAAATTTCGTCTTCAGATGCAGGCTGTTTAATGTATGACATTGAATAATGCATCGAATAATGCAATTGGGCAGAAATGAGATGTTGAAAGCTCCCGGAGAAAAAAAAACTATGGTCACAACTACCAGATAAGGTAAAATTTGCCGTGTTTATGACTCTATGGGAACACTAAAATGCTCGGTCATTCTTTCCTTACCGAAGTGCTTTGGAAATTTTGGTAAATTTAGAAAGGAATTATGGTTTTATAATATGTGATACAATTTGTTAATTTTTACCTTGTTGCTTTAGCATAAAAGTCGTTTATTTACTTTTCACTTTTGTACGTTTTACTAAATGTGTGCTAATAAGAATAATTTTTAAAACCAGAATTTCCGGAAAACTTATACCATATCAGCAGAAATTTCCAAATGTATGCTTCAGATACCATATATTTTGAGTTTATTAACTACAATTTACTTTTTTTTATACCAGAACTTAATGTCATTACTATATACAACGGTAATTTTATAAGAACTTAAAATTGTTGTACTACTATATTTAATACTTGATA